ATGATCGATCAGTCAAATAGTCAATCAATCAATGGATCAATCAACCAAACTATTAATGAAGGATAACCGATAATTTCTGCATATCTGTTCCGTAGCTTCCGTAAATCTCTTAAATCTCGTATCATTTTATACTACTAGGGCTCCTCTATTCGTTCGAATACTTCTCTATTCCTCCGGATAGAGAGCAGGGAGAGTGAAGGAGACATCTGCAGGATTCTCTCCTCTTCTCCTAGCTTCACAGGCGAGATAGCTTGTAGACTGGCACCCAGTATTTACAAGCTATGTGAGAAGTCAAACATCGAAAGGAAATCTGCCCCTCTGCGCCCATCTAGCTTCACAGACCTAATGTTCTTGTAGACTGGCACCCTATTCTCTGCACTTCGTAAATAGCAAGGTCTCCACCTACTAAGTGAAGGGACGGTGTGCTCGTCTAGGCTGAGGAAAACTCGTGTGAAAATCACACGATAGAACGAATACACGATTAAAAACAGTTAAATGCGATGAAAAATAAAAAAACAGACAAGTGACCAAAAATATCACGTTAGGGTTATTTACGATTATTAGCTAAGCTTTTTTTTTAAATTTTGCTCCAAAATCTAGGGGGGCAGCTGCCCCCTTGCCCCCCGCAGGCTACGGCCCTGGAAACACCCTAAATGCAGTTATGTAACGATGTATCGTGTTTCTACAAGGTGACGACTTCTATTGTACTATACATCACTTCAAGAGGTTTGACATTTGAGATTTTGTGATCATGTGTAATAACTATTTATAGTATTTCTGACAACGGGTCTCTCATCCATAACGTCGTGTGATAGATTTTCGAATTTATTTATGCAGTTCGATGGCGTATCGATACGCTTCCGTTTCCGATAAATACGAAATGGGTGCGTTTATCTCTCATGACGTCACATCGAGATCCGAACATTCGAATCTAGGTTAATGACATCTTCGCGTTCACTTCCCTCCCGCTGAGTTACTGCCATCGCCAACGTCATCGTCGTCGCTGTCGTCGCTCGACGACTCCCCGGATGTAGCTACGCTGTGCGTGCAATCAGCGCGATGTCGTGTTTTTCCCCTGTTCGGAGCAATAAACGTGATCGGGTCACGTGAGCAGGCCACGTGGGCTCAGCATTGCATGTGTTTATATGTCGGTCACCTTGCGTTGTCCGGGAGGTGGCGCTGTATGTCGTGCGCGGTTCAACGGCTCACTCAGACATAATCTATTTAATACTATGATCGTGTTTATATAATATATCATATATATACTATATACGTATATATTATATTATATATATATATATATATATATACATATATGTATCTACGTGTATTTGAAATGTATATGTATTTCGTGTTGTCCAATAAATGTTAATTCTATACATTACCCTGCTTTACGCTGCTTGTGTTCATGCGTTCATGATATATGTTCAACAGACATGTATTAGTTTAAATCAGGGGTGGGCAAACTGCGGCCTGCGGCCCGCATGCGGCCCTCTACGGGGTTCTGTGCGGCCCGCGGAAGCCTGCAGCAAATAAAAAAAATTTTAAATCAATAAATTTTTGTGAAAGTCAACATGTTTGTGCTTGAACCGAGGCTGACTTTTTCAGTGTCATACAGATTAGTGTTCTATTATCTTTGGTTCGCTCTGCAACGCCATTTCAGCTAATTATGGTCCAGAGATGGCGCCCTTGAGGTGAAAAGCACGTATTATCTTAGAGCGCACCGCCCGATTTTAAACGGTGCGGCTCTTTGACTTTTCATGGCCCACTGATGCGGCCCTCGCTTTGAAAAGTTTGCCCACCACTGGTTTAAATGTATTAGTATTAGTTCTGATATTAGTTTACTATAAATTGTACTATGAGTTTGATAGATAGACGCATATGTTTCTGGACACACGGGCTAGGGAGTATTAGTTGCAGACCATAGCAACACCGGGATAGCGTGAGGTCCTGGTAGGACCTACCATAGCAACACCGGGATAGCGTGAGGTCCTGGTAGGACCTACCATAGCAACACCGGGATAGCGTGAGGTCCTGGTAGGACCTACCATAGCAACACCGGGATAGCGTGAGGTCCTGGTAGGACACACACATACACACACAGACCTACCAGTAGATAAATAACCATTAGAAGATTATACGCACACACGCACGCGCGCACACACACGCACGCACGCACACATGCACACGCACGCACGCACACATGCACACGCACGCACGCACGCACGCACACATGCACACGCACGCACGCACTCACGCGCACGCACACATGCACACGCACGCACGCACT